TTGTAGGTTGTTTACTATACAGCACATAGAGAAAAATATTACGTTTAGTTTCTCAATATACAGGTGTAACCTTATATAGTTTGGGCATATATTACCGTATACTGTAGCGTAATTTCATTTACAGATAGTCTTGGGCCACTAGTAGTCTATCGTATGCTCGGGGTCGACCTGTAAGGTAGGAATAGGCCTAATTCAGAATTTTGAGCTAAAACTCTTGAGGTCGACTTGTACGTGAGGTCGACTTGTACGTGAGGTCGACTTGTACGTGAGGTCGACTTTTACGCCGAAATTTACAGTATATCTTTGTTCATACTCTGTTATCAGACCGACAATGTAGTATCGCTGCCATATATGGGCTGCAGCTGCCCAATCCTTACTTTCCAACATTCAAAAGCGTTTATGCGACCTTGTAGGCGATGAATTATTTTCCTCCTCACACGCCCTTTCCCATAGAAGAAATGTTGCTGGACTCTCGTTACTCTATCGCTATTTTCATGTCAGATATTCCCTCTTAGCAATATTACTTTGTTCCACCAGTCGAGACTTTAGAGCTAGGACCCGACATGGCACGTACACTGAGTCAAATCATACTTATTCTCTTCGCATACCATTTGTACGGAGGAAGTTCCATTCAGAGAGTTTTTTCTTCAGAAGTTATGTTGCGGAACAGTCTTCGGAAAGGATGATTTTCTGATCATTACAATCTCAACCTTATTAAGTGGAGGATCAACCGTTATCTCTATTACATATCATAATGTACCCCTCTTACGCTCTCAGCAACCTCACTTAGTAACCCTCTACCTTGAGTGGCTCTTGGATCTTAATAATAGTATTAAAAGAGACACCAATGCGTCTGCTAACGGAGAATCAATATATGCAGTATTTTATCTACTGTTATACTAACAAATACTATACATTAAGTATTTCTCAACAAATTCGACAATTCATTAAACAGCACCGAGACAAAGCTATAACTGCAATCCTTTTCAGAATGTGCTAATCAAATGCTGTTCTTGGCTCTAACCAAAGTTATTATAAAAGAGTGAAAAACAGCGACATATATTTCGATCATGGTGAGCGAAAAAACTGACTTAACACATGCGCAGCAAACTGTAATTATATTCTGCTACATCAATTGGAAGAATGAGAATTTATGAAATAAAATAAAAGAGATATTTATTTAGTGTGAGACTATAATAATAATAATAATAATAATAATAATAATAAAAACAAAACGGTAGAAGCAATTGTGAGATTGTTCCGTGATACTTTAATAAAATATGCCATACCAATGATAGATTGCTGTGTACAGGAATATTGTAATTGAAGGAACTAGTGTAAATCCTATAATGGCAACCAAACTCAAATTCTCAAGAACGATTCCCGAGCGGCATTCACTCCGTGTGTTTGTCTCGGACTAAATATGTGTATCTGTCTAAATCTCTGAGATGAGGTATTATGAATATTTACATCATTTACATTATTGGGACTGTTATCCTCATCTTTATTGCCATATTCACAACGTTTCGGCCGTTCTACTAGTTCCACGTGCCATGACTCTTCTGAATTCCGTTTTCAGTGCAACTTCAGAAATGTGAAACATTTTGAAGAATAACTTCGGCTTCTCACAGCACAGCCTTTCAGACATATGATCGCCTGCACTGAAAATCGGAAGGCGGGGTTCGAATTTCAGTTGAGTTCGTTACATTTACTTACGAACTAACGTAAAGAAAGTTAGGAATCCATATTCCACACACCTATTTCTTAAATAGTAAGACGTTTATCTGAAAAAAAATTCCCAAAAAATGTTAATGTAATATTCAATCACACACACACAAAAAAAAAAACAAAAAAAAACAAGAGTTGTTCTTACAATTTAAACTATGTTTAAAATTTAAATAAGACATAAAGGGTTGATAAGCCGTAAAAGGAACTCAATAAATCGTCTGAAACATCTGATAGTATTCGATATTTTGCACACTATTTATCTGGGATAAAACTATATCGGCTCATTTGAGTGTCTTGTTATAACATACATTTGGATTAAGGGTCGAACTGCAATTACCTGCAAATCAGAGTGATACAGTTTTATGTAGATGTGAAAAATATAAGAAGTCTACTAGTAGAATCAAGTACGTGAGAGTGGAGTCTTCAGTATTTCAGTCTACGAAGCCAAGTAGAATTAACTCGGATACTTGAGAGCGAAGTCTCCAGGATTTCAGTCTACAAAGCCTAGTATAATTCAGGATTTCAGTCTACAAAGCCTAGTAGAACTAAGTTGGATACTTTAGAGTGAAGTCGCAAGTACTTTATACTAAGAAGTTTTACTAGATCAACTGAGATATATGACAGTAAAGTCTCTATTTATTTATACTAAGAAAACTACTAGATGAACTTGCGATGGAATTTACATTTTTTAGACTCAGAAGCCTACTAGAAGAACTCAGATATAAACGAATTTTCACTTAATCCAACCGTTCCTAACAAATCGAGTAATGAATGTTGTGTTGAACGGGCACGTTTCCAGATCTTTTCATACTAACGCGGGTGAGCTACGCTGTTTGTGATCTTCATCAATGATCTCACCGATGTTATCCATTCCCAACAAGGTTTTTATGCAGATGATGCAACCATTGACTCCTGACTTTGTAGCATATTCCGTCGGGTCTAACAAAGTAAATATTGCAGCTGCTCTTGAAAAGGACCTCCAGTCAATGGTTAACCGAAGCCTGAAATGGCTCGGTAATGTTAATGTTGTGGATTCCGAGATGAAATCCAGTCTCCAATGAATGACAAACGCAGGAATGAAATATAACGAATAATGTATTTACACAATAATACAATGGGTAATACTGTTAGTAAATCCAGAAACGCGATTAGTAGCAATAGTAATAATAATAATAATAATATATATATATATATATATATATATATATATATATATATATAGTCTCGAAGTAGGACTTCTTTAGAGTCTACGTGCTTGTAACTGTGACTTCTACAAGCGGTTACCTCACACTATTACTCTATCTACAACTCAGTCTCTCTCTCTCTCTCTCTGGGCATTTAACGCCAGCAGTCCAAGTACACTGGTCGAGTCCACTTGTATGAAAAAGGTGTGGACCCCATAACTGTTAACATCTCCAAAACAAAACTGCGAACCTTTTCTGCCCGTCATTAGCAACATTCTAAGACTTCTTGGCCCCACGTTTTCCGCTGAATTTAAGTGGAACGACGATATGGAATCAATTGCTACGTATACTGCAAGAAAAGTTGTGTCGTGTTGCGCGTTTTAAATCCATCATTCGTCCGTGCATTGAATACTGTTGCATATCTAGTCTGGAATCCCTGTTGTACATCTCGGAATTCTTGACAAAATTCAATGATCTAGACTTAACGACTTTAGTCACTTTGTCACCGAATTGACGTGGCTTCCCTCTGTCTTTTCTACAAATATTTTCATTGCAATTATTCTGATAAGCTTTTTTTTACCAGATGTGCCGACTACATGGATTTAAGCCTGCTATTAAATTGGCAACCCGGTTTCACCGACTTACTAAATGCAACCACCACTTCTACACCAACTGCTTCTTTTCTCGCACTTCCCACCTGTGGAACACCCTTACGATTTCTTGCTTCCCTGATAATTACAATCTTCAGAAATTTAATTGCAACGTCAATCATCTTCCGTTATCTTGAACCCTGTTCTTTTTGGTCCTTTCCTCAATCCCCGCCATTCTCAGTTTTCTCATTATCGTTCACTTTCAATTCCTATAAACCCCTGTGTCTTAGTGGCATTATCGCCTTGCTTGGGGTGAAACGATTAAAAATATGAGTGTGAATTCTCAATTTCATAAAACTAAGAAGTCTACTCGATCGCGAGTTCTGTGACTTATCAGGATGGTAGGGACACCACATGTACTGAAGTAGTGTTTCGTGGGCAAGATAGCCTGACGGACCCCTCTCCAGGCCGTTTTCTTTTCAGAGTAACTAGACCGGTTGTCACCCAAGGTTACAGAATCCAGTCTGCCTTGCTATTTACCCATAGCTGGTGGGCAGAAGAAAAAGATTAATACCTTTACACGTATTAATTAGCACGTAAGTGAATGTAATGGATCCGACCGGAATTCGAACTCGGCTCTCCGATTCCTCAATCCGAGGCGCTATCAATTATTCCACCTTGCCGCCTGAGAAGTCTGCCAGAAGAACTCATATTCTTGTAAGTGAGCTTCTCATGTACTTAAGCCCGGAAAGCCTATTTTCTAATAGGATTTTTAGACTAAAGTTCCTGAAATCTTCTGGTACTTGAGAGTTTGGCAAGATAATTGTTACAAACTCTAAGGCATATAAACATAACAATCAAGAATTCCAATGGCGGAGTGAAGAGACAGTCATGTTAAATTCCAATAATAATCTGTAATAAATTGAAAGCTGATCTATCAAAGGATCAACAAGTCGTTTTATTAAATCTGAAAGCCATTCACTCAGCAAAACTGGTAACATCACTGATGATCCTGTTTAATCTATTCCCTGTTTCCGACTGCCTGAATTATATTAAAATAGTTTTGAAAGTGTCTTCCTGTATCAATGTGCAAGATTCGCAGCGAAAACTCTCTTTGTTCAACCATTTTATGAAATGTCTGGAGGTTGTCTATGTGATCTGAAGCCATATTAGTAAAGGATAATTTTTCAGGTTTTCGTATATTTTGAGAACCATTTTCTCTATAAGCCACACCAATTTCTGTAATTTTAAATTTTTGCTATCGAAGTCAACGGTCAGGGCGGAGGGTTTGTTAGGATGGAATCAGCAACCACGTGTCCGTGACTAAGGCGAACCTTAAAACTGGAGGATATCGGCTGCGGTTTGACCTGGAATAGGATGGTCTCTTCCAGGTCTACTTGAATACATCTGCTTTCAATTCAGATATGTCGGCAGGTGATCGGCTGAGCAGCAAACCCACTCGATCGTGGGTTTGATGATGATCATGATGATCATAATCATGATCGTTTCCACCTATTCCACTTTCTTTCTTACTTTCTTTTATTCCTTCTTTCTTTCTTTCTTTCTTTCTTTCTATTTATATCGTTCTGATCATTATCTATCTATCTATCCATCCCATTCTGCTCCTGTTTTCTTTCTTTCTTTCTTTCTTTTTTTCTATTCTATTTCGACTCCTATCTATCTATCTATCTATCTATCTATCTATCTATCTATCTATCTATCTCATTCTGCTCCTGTTTTTCTTTCTTTCTTTCTATTCTATTTCGACTCCTATCTATCTATCTATCTATCTATCTATCTCATTCTGCTCCTGTTTTTCTTTCTTTCTTTCTATTCTATTTCGACTCCTATCTATCTATCTATCTATCTATCTATCTATCTATCTATCTATCTATCTATCTATCTCATTCTGCTCCTGTTTTTCTCTCTTTCTTTCTATTCTATTTCGACTCCTATCTATCTATCTATCTATCTATCTATCTATCTATCTATCTATCTATCTATCTATCTCATTCTGCTCTTTTTTCTCTCTTTCTTTCTATTCTATTTCGACTCCTATCTATCTATCTATCTATCTATCTATCTATCTATCTATCTATCTATCTATCTATCTATCTCATTCTGCTCCTGTTTTTCTCTCTTTCTTTCTATTCTATTTCGACTCCTATCTATCTATCTATCTATCTATCTATCTATCTATCTATCTATCTATCTCATTCTGCTCCTGTTTTCTCTTTCTTTCTTTTCTATTCTATTTCGACTCCTATCTATCTATCTATCTATCTATCTATCTATCTATCTATCTATCTATCATCTATCTATCTCATTCTGCTCCTGTTTTCTCTCTTTCTTTCTATTCTATTTCGACTCCTATCTATCTATCTATCTATCTATCTATCTATCTATCTATCTATCTATCTATCATCTATCTATCTCATTCTGCTCCTGTTTTTTCTCTCTTTCTTTCTATTCTATTTCGACTCCTATCTATCCATCTATCTATCTATCTATCTATCTATCTATCTATCTATCTATCTATCTATCTCATTCTGCTCCTGTTTTTTCTCTCTTTCTATTCTATTTCTATTTCCTATCTATCTATCTATCTATCTATCTATCTATCTATCTATCTATCTATCTATCTATCTATCTATCTCATTCTGCTCCTGTTTTTCTCTCTTTCTTTCTATTCTATTTCGACTCCTATCTATCTATCTATCTATCTATCTATCTATCTATCTATCTATCTATCTATCTATCTATCTATCTCATTCTGCTCCTGTTTTTCTTTCTTTCTTTCTATTCTATTTCGACTCCTATCTATCTATCTATCTATCTATCTATCTATCTATCTATCTATCTATCTATCTATCATCTATCTATCTCATTCTGCTCCTGTTTTTTCTCTTTCTTTCTATTCTATTTCGACTCCTATCTATCATCTATCTATCTATCTATCTATCTATCTATATATCTATCTATCTCATTCTGCTCCTGTTTTTCTCTCTTTCTTTCTATTCTATTTCGACTCCTATCTATCTATCTATCTATCTATCTATCTATCTATCTATCTATCTATCTATCTCATTCTGCTCCTGTTTTTCTCTCTTTCTTTCTATTCTATTTCGACTCCTATCTATCTATCTATCTATCTATCTATCTATCTATCTATCTATCCCATTCTGCTCCTGTTTTCTTTCTTTCTTTCTTTCTTTCTTTCTTTCTTTCTTTCTTTCTTTCTTTCTGTCTTTTTATTCCATTTCGACTTCTATCTATCTATCTATCTATCTATCTATCTATGCTCATATCATTCTTTTTATAAACGCCTTCATATCTAAAGACATTTACAATTATAACTGACTTAATATTATTTCAGGAATCGAATGCTTGTGAAGCAATAATCGACATTTGTTTATGCTTTATTCCATCCTCGTTACTTGCATTCTACGAAATAGATTCCTGCTCAGATTTAATTGCATTCATATCATTTTCGACCAATTATGACTTCGTACTTTGCGTATTTATCGAAAGAAACGCGTGTCCATAAAGTTAGAAGTATTTGTATTTTTAATAGGAAGTCATATAATTAGAAAAATTAAAATTTACTGTAATTTTACGCAGGTACAATTTATTAATATTGACGTATTCTTTGATTTAAACTGTCTGAAAGAATGCATTTTCATTTGGCATTAGACATTATAATATAGAATTCGATGCCAAAGCCGGGAAAAATCAAGTTTCATTTTTATTATACAGTACTGGGAACTTGAATATTTGTTATTAAATGACTAAACTCGAAATTAAATCAACATCTTAATTATTTTCCCTACATTCAACACGTATGTGTCATCCTCTATGAATTATCTCCAATGATTCACTGTCAGAGTAAGAAGACGCAGTTAAAAGGAAATTATTAAGATTTCTCGATAGCCGCTTTTGATAGATAACGTCATGCCTGTACGTAGTGTAATGGTTAGCAGGCTTGTCTCGCTAGCTCACTTAAGAGTGAGTTCGATCCTCACTAAGTTCACCCGTTCTGGGTAGGACGATAAACTACATACGCGTACTGGGTAAGACGATAAATAACGTCCAACAGCAAGGCCTCTGATCAGGAGGTTTTGAGGGGCGTGGAACCACCTCTTGATTGCTGGTGTTCCCAGCTGCGTCCTGAGCCGGGGTGGTAGCACCTGTAAGGGTGCCAGCTATGGGCAAATAGTTAACCCTCAAACTGGGGTAAAAACACTATGAAAGTGTAAAAACAGGTTTTAATCTCAGATATACTTTGTAAAAAATTATTTCCACCAATAAATGTTTGGAGAAAAAAAAAATCTATTACCAGCTATACATTTTTCAGGAAAAAAATATTACAAGCAATAGTTTTTTGAAAAAAATTATTACAGCAAAATATTTTTGAAAAAAAATATTACTAGAAATATATTTTTGATAAAACAAAATATTACCAGCAATGAAAATTTTGTCGGCATTAAATAACCCATTGACGTTAATATGCCATATAACAAACCAAACCAAACCAATCACTAAGAGCGCTTTATTTTCGGCCTTGTGTCACAAATACGTTTCGCTTACTAAATCGCTATGTTAGGGTACTTTCACGTGATGTAATGGTTAGCAAACTTGTCTCGGCACATCGCTTACGACTGAGTAGTGAGTTCGATCCTCACTAGGTGTTCTTTATTTTCGGCCTTATGCCACAATTAAGTTTCGCTGAGTAAATCATTATATTAGGGCATTTTGATCAATTACAACTGAGTAGTGAGTTCGATCCTCACTGGGGATTGTTTACTTTCGGCTTAGTAAATTAAGCTATGTCTTAGTAAATTACGATATCCCGCCACGTATATCTAAATCTGAAATGTAATGTTCCAAAACTGCCAGTATCTAGTCAACATACTTTTACCTACGCTACTGGCAGCATTCAATTCTGACTAACGACCGAGTCTGCTGGTTCTTCTCTGTACCGATCATAACTCTCCACATCTTCCTATCCTTTGTAACCTCTCTCACTCCCTGTTTTGCCAACCATTTAGACAAGCACAGCTTGATATTTCGCTCATTACGTGCTCTTTATTTTTTGCCTTGTGCCACAAATAAGTTTCATTTAGTATATTATATTCGCCAACTTGCTCGTGGGGTAATAGACAGAAAGATTGTTTCGCTAGATCAGTTACAACAGATTAGTAAGTTCGATCCACACTTACTGCTCCATATAACCGAAGCGGTCAAAATTCTTCTTGTTCTTGTATGTGCTGTGTCTTTCAAAAAGTAGGCGATCATAACTTATCTCTCACACACCCTGTTTTGCCATCTATATACACAAGCTCGTTAGGTACGTTACCCTTTCTTTATTTCTCTTGCCTTCAATGTGTCCCGTGAGTGGTGATTTATATGTGGCACAAGGCCATAAATATAGGGCACACAGTGAGGATCGAACTCACTACTCAATCATAATTATTCTAGCGAGACAAGCTTGCTAACCATTAAACCACGCGGAGGCGCCCAAATACTTATCTATTCATAGCTTACATGTGGCACAAAGCCTAAAGTGCGGAGAACCCAGTGAGGATCGAACTCGCTACTCAGTATTTACTCTGTCTCCCCACTGAGACTCAAGATCTTTTTTAAGGTGGGAGACTCGAGCGCCAACATACGGGCAAGGAAATATTGCCCACAGCCCCCGCAACCGTCGTCTGCACTGGCCTCGGTACGAGCAGCGATCCCTCTCTCTGGTGTCATGAGAGTGCGCTGACTCGGGCAGCTGTTCCCCAGGGCTGAGCACCTCATCAGTATAATTTTCCTCAGTTGCAACTCTGTCCTTTGACGGAGCCCCCCGCTGAGCGCACTCTACCCAAAGACAGAGACACAGATGAGAGATGATATATAATGTGCTACAAACTACTCCAAGGAGTAATTTACACACTAGTGATTTTCCATGTGGCCCAAGGTTGAAAGTATGGGGCACCCAGTGAGGATCGAACTCACTACTCAGTCGTAATTGTTCTATCGAGACAAGCTTGCTAACCATTACACCATCTCCAGGTGTCCAATGGTTTTTCTAAGCGTAGCTTAGATGTGGCAAAAGGCCGAATGTATGAGACAACCAGTGAGGATCGAACTCACTGCTCAGTCGTAATTCTTCCAGCGAGAGAAGCTTGCTAACCATTACACCGCCTCGATGTGCCCACAGAAATTTTCCAAGCGTTGCTTAGATATGGCACAAGGCCGAAAGTATGGGGCACCCAGTGAGAATCGAACTCACTACTCATCGTAATTCTTCTAGCAAGACAAGCTTGCTAATTATTAAACTACGCGGATGCGTCTAAATTCTTATCTAATCATAGCTTAGATGTGGCCGAAAGTGCAGAGAACCCAATGAGGATCGAACTCACTACTCAGTCATAAATTGATCTAGCCAGACAACCTTGTTAACCATTACACCACTTTAATGTTCTCTATGTGTTCTGTGAGTGTCCAAATCTTTCTCTAGCTTTGCTGTATTGATGGATTGGTATTAGATAGCAGTTAAGCTTTCTTTTCTTTGTTTTTTCAATATAATAAACATTCTAATGTCGGTGTTGGTTTGCTTGGAATGAAGAGGATACCTATTGAAGTAAGTAGTCGTATCTACCAACAAATGCACTCGTAATGGAGTTCGGAGTCTGTTTATAACACTGATAAGAAAATGTGGATAATGCCTTATACGATGACAGGTGTCAGATGTAAGACTTCCAGGTGTGTCAACATTGTAGATGTTACGGCATCATCAAAGATAAAAGGAGGATGGTGGGAATTAGATTTCCGAAGATGAAAAGTGGGGAGGCTGATATAGAAGGTAAAGAGAAGAAACTTTCTCTCTAAGCTAGCAGCGATGTATTGATCACGTTATCCCCACGCCTACTTTCTGTTCATGCACTTCCGGGCGCCATCCTTTTTGATCTTGCTTCTTATTCCGGTTGTTAAGTAATTGCGTACAAAGCGTTCTCTGTTTTCGATTCATTGACGTGGAGCTGGAGGAGACGAACTTGTAAGTACGTACACACAATGCACAATATAAATAGCATTCATTTATTTAGAATTTTCATTTACTAAAATAATCATTAAAATGTAAGGGTTGAACATTCGCTTATTAAATTAAACATTTCCCTCGATATGCGAAAGTATAGTGTTACTACGAAACCTTTCGTAACCCGAAATAGCATAAAGCAAAGCAACATTTACTATGAGTCTATAAAAGAAATTATTTTTAGCGTTCTCTGCAAAAATATAACCTTGCTAACGCTACGATTGATAGTGCTTCTGTAATTACAAAAAAAAAGGATGATTTTTGAAAAGGTACGTACATTAAATACAGCAGGTTCGACGGGATACTTTCCATGCGTGAGGCTAAGCAGCCACGCATCCTGACACATTTCAAGATTTTGACGTCAACCAAAGCAAATGACGGAATTTGACCTTTGACATCAAGTGAAGAAGAAAGAGAAGTTGATTTTTGGTGGCTGGAAATTATTAAATAATATCACATAAACTAGTAGCAATTACTTTTTCATAAAATTTTGGGTGTCGAGGAAAAGGGGAGTAACTCATCTATTTATTAACCACACCCCTTCTCTGTCTGTCTGTCTGTCTGTCTCTCTCTCTCTCTCTATATATATATATATATATATATATATATATATATATATATATAGTCATCCACAGACAGAGTATTTCGCTGTATCACACCTCATCAGTGTGGTTAGACATTTGATTGCCTTAACCCAGGACCGAAACCCGACTGACTTGACATTATTTTTACCCCTGAGCTATCGACAGAGAGGAAGGCGGATATTTACGTACTTATTCTTCGAATAAACACGTCAGTGACCGCGACTGCTTAATTCCTAGAAGAGCTTTGCAGTATTAGCAGTAGTAATCATTGTTTACGAATTCGCTATATATATATATATATATATATATATATATATATATATATATATATATATATATATATATATATATAAACTAAAAATTCTTGAAGCTATCTATATTAAAATATTGAAACCAATCCTTAATAGAATTAATTATGAATACTGCACAAATATTTTAAAATTTTTACAGTAGATAGTTTATTTATCTAGTTTTAACTAATTGTTTTAAAGTCTGTTTTATTTCAATAACTCGATGTTTGTCGGGTGTTTACATAATAAAATTGTACAACCATAACCTTAGCATTTATCACTTCACAAGTAAAAAAAATAATTTTCAGATAAACAAAACAATTTTGTCTTAGAAAATTTATGAACACAAGGCTTTTTGTCTTAGAAA